GAAATATGATGGAGTACCTCAAAGTTTGATGCAAAAACGCATGATCACATCGGCTCGCCTGGTGCGTTCCAGCCTGGGTTATGTCATGTTACAAATTTTAATGTGCATCGATCTAGGATCATTGTGAGCTGGGGTTCCATTTTCAGAAAAACTGTAGTTGTGAATGCAAAATTATTCTGCTCTACACAGCTGGAAAGACTGAAGTATTGTTTAGGGTGATAATTTATCGCAAACGTACTCACACTGGCTTTGTTACGCCCCACCACTCGTTATTCAAAATGGTTTCCAAACACTCAACCAGCCAGTTTGGGCGCAAAGATTAGATGTAAACACATTCATAGGGTGCGGACAATATGCGCTTTGTGCACATCAAACCTATAATTTTGACAAAAGGGTCAGAAATTTTGAAAAATTTTTGGAAAATGTTTAGCCGTGATGCGATTAGTTGTCATACTTAGTTATCATATTTATAATTTAATGATTTCTAGAAAATCCCTGGTCGTGATAAGATTTTGTGCTGTAAAATGGTATTATGTATCATGATGTGCATTTTTTTTAAAATGATATTATATATATATATTTTTTTTGTAGATAGTCTTCCGAGCACGTAATATTAATAAACTGTCGGATATCGTTGCTGTGGACGATATCGAATACAGCAGTAAAGAGTCGCAAGCCAGTGTTACTCGTCCACGGGCATTTGCCTCACCGGTATGATTCATAAAAAAATGCGCGTGTTTTTATGAGACTTAAAAGCACATGTTCAAAGAAACCAGGTTTTCGATTTTTTTGATATCAGTTCTTATTACAACATCCCATCAAATTGCCGCTTCTCATCCTTGTAGGAAATGATTGTTTTGCTGCGTATCTTTGCAAGTTGCTTCGTGTTTTATCACTGCAGAGGGCAGACGCTGTGCTGGATGGATCGCCGGAGAAGCTAGCGAACGAGCAGGCAAACGTTGGTATCTGCCATCCAGTGCACTGTACATTCACCGACTCGCAATGCGCCTGGTACCACGCTTCTTTCCTTACTACATGTGTAGAGATTTAAGGAAATGATTAGGAGTGGGGCTGCAATTTACCTCACAGTGTCAATTGCCTAAAAATTTTCCGGTCATTTTTTGCGCATGTGCTTAGCAGGTGGAAGAAGAATAAGAAAGTCTTATGCCGGTTTTGTTGAGTGCTTCTGCTAGACGGCTGACCTGGCTTCATCGTGGCCAAACACATCTCCTAGTTGCTAGTCCCCTCCATGAGACCTTTTCGACTTTTCTGCTTTCTATATAAGTCTGCGTTTTGGTGAAATGCCTTCATTTATGGATCAGGTATTATAAAAACTTATTGCCCTCTAACTGCCCTGTAATGATCCATAAATGATATCCGAGTACTTTCATCACAAAACGAATTCATCATGCTGTTACTTTCTGTTCTTTTTTCAAAAATACTAAAAGACGCCATAGTTATTTAAGCAAAAATTTGAAGCGAGAATTGCTGAGAAAAGAACTAGGACATAGGAAGGGAAAACAGAAAGGAGAGAGGAAGGAAGAAAATGAGCCTTTTTTAGCCAAGAAACTCGTCATTTTTCCTAAAAAAAAGTAGTCACAATTTACATTTTTTCATGCGTTTTTGCTGTGCAGCGCTATAGCGCTGCTACAACCAGCAAAAACGCATATTGTCAAGAGATTGTGCGTGTGTGTTCAGCAGCAACTGAACTTTGTCACCTACTTTCATCTCAGCAATCAGGGAAGCTGGGAAGCTGAAATTTCGGATATGTGTTCCTTCCCCGTGTGTCACTCTCCCGCTTTAAGATCTTCCTTCACACGCATCTAGACCCCGCGTACGGCTCTCCCCCCTCCCCTCCCAAAAAAAATATGCAAATTTGTTTGGCGGAAAACGACTTCACGAACTAGGCAAGGTACAAAGCTGAAACTTTGCAAGGATATTCCCTGTGTATTTGCGAGCTGAAGATTTCAAATTCAGCTGCCGCACAAGTTTGCGTAGCGCGTACGGCCACGTCAAAGTTTACGACTTGGTACTATGTTAACTTTAAAACTTGCCGGAAAACAGTAGTTGAAATTTTATAAGGATACTTGTCTCCGGTAGAGAAAAGAGTATGCCTAAAATGAGTACCGATTTGCACTTGCGCCACGACTTAGGGCACTCAAAGAAATTTTTAACGAAGTGGATATTTCGCTTGCCAGATAAGCTGCAAGGCTGAAAATTCGCTGGGACATTCTACTTTCAAATTGGTCTTAATTCTG